ATTATTATGGCCCTGCGATGGACTGGCGGACTGTCCAGGGTGTACCCTGCCTCTCGCCCGTTGACCACTGGGATAGGCTCCAGTTCCCCCCGCGAGCCCAACAGGGAATAAGCGGTATTGATAATGGATGGGTGGATGGATCATTATTATGATTATTATCATTTATTTGAACTGCCCTCTTTGGGAGCAACTATATGTATCTATTACTTATTTTTTCACAGCTCCAAAAGGCAAATAGAAAACAGAAACAAAACCAAATGACATAACCAAGCTTTGAAATTCCTTTCATCCAAAGGCATGACCAGTAGTGGCTAATGTCACGTGGCTTCTATAATTACATTATACATTATTTATTTATGTTGCGAAATTCTACATGTATCCAATAATGCCGAACCTGACAGAGGAACAGGGGAGATGGAAGAGCAAAGAAAAAGAAACACAAAAAGGATAAAAATCCTTTAGACAGAGAAAGAAAGAAAGACAACAAAACCATACAACCAATCAGTATAAAAAGAGACAAAAAAATATTTTCCAAATCAGATTTTGGAAAATTGAATAGAAAAAATGTCCATGAAAAACTATTTTGTGTCAAAATGTTTTGGTACTTCATGGTGTTTATATCAATTATGATTACAGGATTCAGAAACTGCTGCATGGCCATGGCTTTTGGTCAAAAGTATGCAAAATAAGGTAGATATTGGTTGATCTTGGGAATGAGATGTGTGGCTCATTGATGGATTGGCAACCAGACCACACTGCCTCTTGCCCAATAGTAAGTGGTGTAAACTTATCAATCTGAATAGACCCAAGTATGAAGATGATTGGTAAAGAGAGAGTGACCCAAAGACATGCATGGTGAATGACAACAGAAGGTCTAAGTTGAACATAATTTTATTTAATGTCAAACAGAAAGAGCAGTCACCATGAGCCAAAACACCAACAAACTACATAACTAACACCATTCTAGAAAAAGAACAAAAACACGAGCCACAAATACTGTGCTGCAAAACATGGATATACAACAGCAAGGATCTGACAATGTAGAAAAATGATCATAAATACTTTAGGGAACCGATCAGTGACTGATTTCTGCTGTGAGAGATGAAAATGTTTAGAGAAACTGAGGACCAAAAACAGAGGAACCGATGACAAAGAAGAGTGATAACAACAAAACACGAACATGAGCTCACAAAAAAAGTGACGTAAAAACCTAAAAACAAGAACAGGGCAAAAAAATATTCTTACAAAAGATATGACAACAAAAACAAAGAAGAGAGGAAGAAAAACCTTTCCAAACTCCAAAATTCCACTGACCTCAACATTATTTAGAAAATGAATAGATAGTTTTGTATTCTGTTTGATGGAAGAAAAAAGATACAAAGGTCTAAAAATCTGGTTCTGCATCTTTTTTTCATTTACAGCCAAGGAAAACTCTCTCAGAACCTCACAGAAAGCTATCAATAGATGTATTATGCAACACAAACATGAGAATCTAAAACTCAAATGATGGGGGCATGAGAAACTGAAACTCAAAGTGAAACCACAGACATAAAAAGAAACAGCCCGGTCAAAGATCAAATGACATGGACAATAAACAGGGCAATAACATCAAAACTGACAAGAAACATATGCAGGCCTGAAAATGTAGACATTTATTTATTTAGATTATGAGCTGTACTTTACAGTGTGTGCATCACATACACTGTATCCACTCAAAACTAATACCACGATGCGACAAAAAATGTCTTCAAAACGTTGATTATATTGAATAGTTATTCCGTTTTAGAGCTGGCACATTGACTTATGCGGTATCTATGAGCTCTGAGACGGTTGTCGGTAAAGCAGTGTAAAACTATTGTATAAATCTATGTAATCAGCCACAGATTACCGCGGTGCTTCCATAACACAGGATGCGTGTACCTTTACATAAACTCAACACATTATTTATGGTTTTACATTGAGTGGGATGGACTTTTGATTTTGCACAATCAGGCAGCGAAGAAGTGGAATTGAAATAGACAAGACCCAGATAGCTGTTCACAACAAGCAAAAACTAAATCATGGAAGGCCCTAAAATATTTAAACCCTGTAAGGTTTAGCTAATAAGCAGGTAAAAACCTGATATATGTCCAGAGCAAGCAAGAAAATAATTGACCCAACACCATGAAAGCTTTAAGCTTTAATGTGTAGGTTCTTTGTTTGACCACTAGATGGCCTCAGAGAGCGATATAAATATTATATGTAAACCAAAGTAATTCAGTTTGAAACGCAGAGCTATACAAATTCAAGTAACATTCATGAATACTTTTCATCAAATATTTGTAGTTTGATCAGTTATCTAGTCAGCTCAATTCAAACAAAACCTCTCAATCACGTGTGCTGCTGCAAAAGATAATTTCCTGTCAGCTTGGATTGACATGTAATTGAGTGTGCCTGGTGTTCTTGCTCAAGTGTCATAACTCAGTGTTGTGCAGCTGTTGAGAATTACACGGCTGGGCAAGAGGCTCTGTACGGGCTTGTGATCAGTGAGCTGTGCACTGGAATGTCTCCCAGATGCCCTCAAACTATAGCAGCTGGAATGAAATCAGCACAATGATCTCATTTTTTAAGGGATGGAAAGTAGAGAAACAAAGGGAAACAGAGAACACAGAGGTGATGTAATGTGTGCGCGCACATGCTGTATCCATGTGTGGTAGAATCAGATGGATACGGGAGTGGACGGTCGTGTTGCATGTGCACGTTGGTGGTACTTCATGGATCCAGATCCAAAGCCCTCCTGATGGTGCTCTTTGTAAAGCCAGATTTGCAATGCAAACAGACCTCGGGTCCATTGAGCGTCATTTTGGAACATGCTTTGAAATTCAGTTTACCTATAAAAGTAAAAAAAGCTAAATTCTTCTTGCACTAACTAAACTCTCGATATTTGCGGGACTATGACAATGACTTTATGAAGAGAGACTCTCATGGATACAGATACATAGGTTAGAAGCAAAACTGTCTTGTCAAGAATCAATTAGCTCTAGAATCTTCATACATGTATTTTATCCACAAAAATCAGTTCCATTCAGCGGTGGAGCCAAAGCAGCCCTGACAGGTGCCTGAGAGAGCTGGTGACTGAAATCTGATCATGATCCAATAACTGTAGAAAATAACAGGCTGCTGGGCTACTGACCCTATGAGCTATACTTACATCAGCTAGCTTTGTTCAGGACTCAGTATGCACAAACAAAAGACTATGCATGATACTGATACAGTGACAGGAAACGTGATTACAGTCATCGCTTCTGGTGTCTTGGTTTATTTGGTCATGAACCGGGAACGCTGGAAAAATGCAGCTTCTGACCTCTGACTTCCAGGCTTAGGGGTTGGGGTTGTTATACGATATGGCTATGTCGGCCTAAATGCAGTTTCACAAAAAAAAAACTCAAATAAAAAAAGATGTATGGGCTTTATTGGCAATTCATTGGCACACAAGAGGTCCATAAACCAATTCAGTTTATTTCTAAATAAAATTTGTTAATGGTTTAAGATAAAGCTGGAGTTAGGTATATCGATTTAAAAAGAAACAAGATTGTAACAGGCCGAAATGTTTTGTGTAATCAACTGAAAGCATTTAATCCCTGGTCTCAGTCCCCTTTATCGCTTACTTAACAGAACTTTAGTAAAGGAGAAGGTGTAATAGAGTTCAGGAAGTTTAAATGCCTCACTTCCACAACAGATGAAGGGTTTACTAATTGAAATACACAGCCTCTATCATCCTCGCTCAGTGAAAATTTAGGCTGGCCACAGTTTATCATCCTCTCTCAGAAAAATGTAGTCACTGAAGGGTAGCCTGTTGGAAAGAAGGGGTTGGTAGAGAAACTTTCTCTGGAATTCTATCACCTTTTACCAGACTTTCTGAAAGTTCTTCTTTAAACACTCGAGCCAAGTTTACAGTTTAAGCTTCAGCACAGGTTAAAATGCAAATATATGAAGAGGGAGATGAGTCACCAAATTTGCGTTTGCCCTTCCAAAAGAACATCAACCACCGAAAGACAGTTTCGAATCAAAATGCAAGAGAGGATGAAGCCAGAACTGTTAGTCTCACTTCAGTTGACAAACTCAAGTTAAATGTAATGGGAGATTTCATATTTCCTTTGCCAAAAATATTTAAAACTACACTAGGACATTTTCTTGTATAACTGGTTAAGTTAGGATTGATGAAATTACACTGCACGATATTGGCTTCAGTGTATCGCACATGGTCATTTTATCCAAACTCTGAATGGGAGTATAGGCTCCCCTCTCTTAAATTTCTTATCTTTTTACTCCCACAATCCGTTGGTGGTACTGACGTATAAAAAGGAGCTGATCCACACAAAAGATGTTGTTGTTTCTGTCTGACAGAGTTATCAGACTGTCTCATGAGGTCGGTGACTGCTGTCTGTGTTTGTGTGTGTGCATAAAGTGCTTGCATTTA